AAAGTTTCTCTGAGGACATTTTTTTCACCAACTGTTAGCACCCTCGGCTGCTAACTCTTCTTGGTCCAGTGATTTTGTCGGTCTCGACTGTCCCATAGACACATAAAACAAGGGTATTTGGTATCCCACCCACTGGATTCTTCAGGAAAGATTAACCCCTTCTACCATTAGAAGCACAGACTCAGGGCTGAGGCTTACACATACAGCATGCTGCTAAGTATCCCAGTAGTCAGACATGTCACTCAGAGCAGCACTTGTATTCACCCCCTTTGCAGGGGGGGGGGGAAAGATTGTTTACCTGCAAATAACAACAAAGGGACAGAAGAGAACTAGGGAAATGAGGAAATAGAATTTTTTTTCCCCTAAAACTTGCTTAGCTTATGTACATATTGCTGATCATCAGATTTACAGTGCTATATTTTTTTTTTACATAACTCGGACAACCCCTTTAAGGTTTTTTTGGCATTTTATATCTTAAATGCACTTATGTGAATTAATTAATAGTAATTTGGACTTTAAATTTGGTTAAAACCCCATAATATAAAAAAAATACCAAAATTTAAAAAAATTTGATAAATTTGAAGACAATTTTGCATTTTGTGGCAAATCATGATGTCTAGGAGTTTTTTCAATATTTTATTTGTTTTCAGCACACCAAAATACATGGAAATTAGATGAAAATAATCAAACAGCTTTTTAATTGCAGACCTGTGCTATTTCAAAAGTTGTTTGTGAATGGTAACTAGGTCAAGTTGTGTCACCATGATTATAATGTTTAAGAATCTGTGTTATTGTTTTTTCATATTCTGTATAGTAATACCAAAGGCTGATCTGTATATTATCTATTATCTTTATCCTAGAGCTGTTTTTATTTTTTTGGTGAGCTAAATTTGGAAAATTTGCCAACACTAATACACTGGGATCTAATGGAACATGTGCAGTATGTGTGGAAAGCATTTTCAGTAAGTGGTAGCCACTTGCCTGATAGATGACAGTCAGATTACAGGGGAGTGCATAGGATTGAAAGTACAAGAAGGGGTTTCTGCAATCAGACACCGTTTAGCATTACTTTGTCTCACACCCAACTACCTTCTCTTTGGGTTGTTTCTTTTTGGGGCAAGAATCATGGAAAACATTTGTAAGTAGGAAGCATTTTGGGCTTCCCACCAATTCAAATACTTTTACTTCCTTAAGCAATATTTAGAATAGTTAAAAATCATCAACCCCATATCTTCAACATACATTTTTTCATCCATTTACAGGGTTCTAAAATATTTAAAGTGTTACTAAACTCAGGACCCTGCATTCACTATATCTGCTCTCCCACAGTACACAGAACATGGAAATGCAACTATTTTAGTAAATATAAACTGCTAAATACCTTTTCTCATCAGCAGTAAATAGCAGTCTTGTGACTTCTATCAGTGTCCAGCAGAGCACTGGTTACAGCTTGTAGGAGGAGTTTTCATTCTCCTGTAGCATGATGCAGGACCCCTGACCTCTGTCTGGAGAGTGCTGATTGGCCCTGTGCTGATCACATGCACTCTCCCAAGAAAAGAAAACTCTAGCAGTACACACCAAACTGAGCACGTGCAGCTTGCCCTTAGCCTCTGTTCTATCAGGAGATATTTAGGAGACACTGGAAGAAGAAGAGAGGCTCAAACATTCTTTTTGTACAATGTGAAGGGTTAACCTCTTAGGTTCCACAGGGAGTATAACAAGCATGCTTTACTGCATATACATACTGATTTTACTGTTGTGGGTTTAATAACACTTTAATATGCACTAGAAAGGGAATCTAAGCATACTCTCACTATACTAAATCTGTAATTCTTACTATGTAAAACACAGTTCATAAACCTTTTATATAAAAAATTTAAATTTTATCCTAATCAATATGAGCAAATAGAGTAAATAAAAAAATAATAATCAAGCAGTAAATTCAATCTGGTTTCTGTTTCAAGTTAGACTGTCATTCAACAAAACAATATACAGTACAATGATGAACAGAATATATCTAAGCACAAAAAACAAAAACTATTATATTGCATCTTACCAGTCCTTATATGTGATAGCTGCATTCATTTTTTAAGCTTTTCTTCTATTGTTTTCACCTGATGATACTGCCACTAACACTTGTCTTGGGGTGGCTATGCTCAATAGTGATGGGGATGATGTTCAATTCGAATACAAGTTTGGCCGTGTGTGTGTTCTGTGACCTGACAGTGCATTTTGATTGGCCAAAGCAATGCACCTAACCACAGGTCAGGTGCAATGCTTTGGACAATTTATTTATTTATTTATTTATTTATTTATTTATCGAGTTTATATAGCGCCAAAGGGTTTGCTCAGCGCTGTACAATAGAGGGGGGACAATACATGAAACAGAACAGTAACATCAAACAGCACACGAGGGGTTAGAGGGCCCTACTCTTTCGAGCGTACAATCTAGGAGGGAGGGGGTAGAGGCACAGGAGGAAACGGCTGTGGGGGATGGAGTGGTAGGAGGAGGGAAGGGCAGCGGCTGTTAGGTGAGGGTGGGGTAGGCTTCCCTGAAGAGGTGGGTTTTCAGGGAGCGCCTGAAGGTGAGGAGGGAAGGTGACAGTCTGATGGATTGGGGTAGTGAGTTACCATTACAATTACAGTGCATGATGACATCACAAGGGACGGGTCATCACGGCGCATCTGTCAGACGGCGGGAGCCAATGTCGAGAGCGGAGCCTTTGAACCCCGCTGACAGCTGAAACATAAAAGAATGTTTTCACTACTAAAATATCTTGTGACTTAATAATATAAATCATGAGGTATTTTAGTAGCTGTGCAGTATCTTACTGCATATTCAGATGTGGTAAGATACCGCTTAGTGAACTGTCCCCTCTGTTTGAAGTTCACGGTTGAACTTTTGTTAGGTTCGAATGTTCGATCATGAACTGAACAGGAGGGTGTTCAGGCCCATCACTAATGCTCAATCACTTTAATGTATCTATAGAGAATCAATGAAACCACCCTTGGACAGCAGTAGAGATGAGCTTCTAGTTTGGTTAAACCTTGGGATTGACCCAAATCCATGCAATTCACATTTCGCCACACGTTTGGCTGGGTAAACTGGTTAAATCTGGACATTTATTTTGCCCGCCTGTCTGAATCTCCAGCTGCTGAAACCAGAAGTCAATTTTTTAGTGTTGGTACTACCACACATCCAATAGATAATAACTTCCATGCACCCATGGGCTGTCTCAGTTAAAATTGTAAGCAGGGTAAAAGCAGCATTATTAAAAACTGGGTGACTTCATAGATCAAATATTGTCGCCCTGTTTTTACTAATAGCTACCAATCAGCTTCTAGCTTTCATTTTCAAAGCTTAAACAAAAAGCTGACATTGAGTGCTGATTAATTGTCATGCATAACTACTCCAGATTCTGGCTACTCCAGTTTTAGTAAATTCCCCCATTATCATTTGCAGAGATTTTCCATCACATTTGAAAAAATATTATACATATGAAATACATATGACATATGATATACAATATTCAACAGTTTAAAAAGTTCTTATTGTCCTTATATAGTATTCTATATTGTGTTAGTAATCGGAAGTGTAACATACAGAAAAAAACCTTTTATTGTTCTGTGATACTGTAGATACTATGCACTGTGTGATACTAGTTCTACAACTGTTTTTTATTCAGCTAAAATAAATGATTGTGCTGGTTTTGTTGAGCAATACAGCATTTATAAAGCATGTATACCTCATTATTAGTGTGAACCCTGCTTAAGTTAAACATTTGTTCAGTTTACTCAACCTCCCAATTGAATGCATTGCTCTGTTTGTAAAAATGATTATGTAAACAGTATGAGAGATGAAAGATGTTAAGCTGTTGCTAAAGGAATTATCCCAGTGAAACCATATAATTTTAATAGATGAGAAAAGTGGGTTTCAAACAGGAAAATAAACTATTAATGGGATATTTTGGCAGCACTTGTAGAAAGCATTTTTCATGAGATGAGATAATATCTGATTATTTATTAAAATGAAAGCCATATATTGTAAAGTATAGAGTACCTATGTTCATTTTTATTTGTTCAGAGGGTCAGTGAATGGCTGAACTAAATGGATATTTGGCTGAGGCACACCTCTGGTTGTAGAGGCAAATTAAATATTTAGCAATCTACCAATGTTAAATGTTACAGTTTCCCAGTCAAACCATTCAGGTGTGCTATGGATTTTAAGAAGATCCTGTTCAAAAAAAAGAAAAAAAAAAAAGAAAAGTGAGGTCCCATCAAAATCCCATACCAAATCATTCAGGTCTGGAATGTATTTTGAAGGGTAACCCTATGCAAAACAATGAAAAGAAGCATTGTATTCCTCCCAAAATCCATACCAGACTCATATCTGAGCATGCAGCCTGACAGGCCAGGATAGAATGGGGAAATGAGGATGTGCCCCCTCTCCTGAATCATACAATTTGGATTGTTGGAGTACATGATTGATGTCGTACATCATTTGATACATATGAAACATTATTTTCATAATGGGCTTAAAAAGTAAAAAAAAGTCAGTGTTTTAATTTACAGTTTACTTTTTTGTGAATGCATATTGGTACTATGTGACCCATACTCATTTTTTGGACGTAGCTCTTATCTGGAGGCCTCTTATTTTCAAAGGGGACTTCTTGATTCTGGTAACACCCCCTACACACAAACCCAACCAACCACTCGGCCAGGGTTGTGGAGAAAAGGTTTTTGTCCTCATCAACTTGTAGACAAAGTTCCAGTTTTTTTTTTTTTGCATTGGTTCATATCCCTCAGGGTGGTGCCAAGTCCCCCTGCAATTTGTTTGAAATCCCTGGCCTATTAGCCTAGAAAATGGCCAGTAATGATTTCTAAGATTCATTTTGCATTGACTTCAATGGTGTTCAGATTTGGCACCTAAACTTTAATAACGTTCATTGAACCCACCTCGAACCAAACCTAGGAACATTCAGCTAACAACTACTTAAAGCGGAGTTCCACCCAAACTAGGAAGCTCCACTTTAAAGATTGTTCCCCTCTCCGCATTAAGGATTGGCACCTTTGGGGAGCGTGGGGGAGGGGGGGAACGGGTACCCAAATTTGACAGGTACCCGCTCCCACTTCCACTGCGATCGCCTAGGCAAACGGAAGTTGTCCTCCTACCCTCCCTCCCCGAAGTCTTGAGGGACAGGTGACAGGTCCCAGAAGACGACAGGGCCATTCAGAGTCTTGTGGGACAGGTGACAGGTCCCAGAAGATGACAGGACCATTCAGGAAGCGCAGCACTACTCACGCATGTGCAGTGGGTACCCGACTGTGAAACCGCAAGCTGTCACAGCCGGGTGCCCACACTGAAGATGCCAGAGCCTAGAATACAGGACGGCCAATGAAATGGGCTGCGGCGGGGCAATGCGGGATCGTGGGACGGGTGAGTGGTCAGCAGCTACAGAGTGAGTGGAACTCTGCTTTAAGAGTGGTGCAGAGCATCATAAACTTGCAGGACAGATGAACCAAGGTGGTATAAAAGGTTTATTGTACAATCAAGTCAACAGTATAGAAATTAGGCCTAATGAGGCTCATAAACAACATAGCAGGATGTGAAGGCATTCTGTAATGAGAGCGGTAACAGAATCCACTAGTAAGTGATCCTAGGATCCCAGATTTTGTGAAATTTATGCAGCTAGTTATTTCAAAGGTCATACTGTGACTGATATGAAATTTTAATTGCTCAAAAAGAATAGCTTGCCTTTTCTAGAACACAGCGATCTTCTGCTTCCCAGTGGCAAAGACATGGGTGTGCATGCAAAATTCCATTTTGGTACAGTTTGCCTTTTTTTTAAACAGAGCTTCCACTGGACTTTTCAAGAGGAATATAATTATGATTGCATAGACTTGGTAGGTATGAGACCAGAAGTCCTTGCTTTTTTGAGCAGTTTCATTACATACTGTATGTCTGAACATGCCCATGGCACTGCATCCTCTAAAGCACTGGGGAGGGTAACTTGGGATTGCATGTAAGAGTCAGAAGAGGACAAGGCAATGTTTAATTGGTCTTTGTGACTAGGACATTGTTCAACGATTTTGCAATGTTAAACCAAATACCTTGCCATTCCTTGGCAGATAGTTTACCAAGACCTGTTTCTAGTTGGTAGTGTATTTCAGTACTGAGGGTAAGCAAGAAGATAATATCAATGGATAAAGAGTTGAAACGATGACCAGGGCATAGGGGTTTTTGATTGCAATAAGCAATAAGGGAGTGTGAGTATGATAAATCAAGGAAGTTATGTAATCAGGGGCGGACTGACCATTTGGAAACTCGGGCACTGCCCCAGGGCCTGGGGTCAGTAAGGGGCCCCATGAGATGCCCCTGGTACCTTTTACCTTTTTCATAGGCTTTTTTGAGTTTGGGCAAGGACACAGGGGTCCCATGATCCCCTATTGCCCGGGGGCCCCATGAGTTGTCAGTCCGCCCCTGTATGTAATATCTAATTTTTATGTACCAAAAGATTTCCTCAGGGGGTATTATACTCAAATTGTGAAAGATTCACTGAAAACCAGGCTTGAGGGACCTACAAGGATATATATATATATATATAATATATATATATACAGTGGGGCAAAAAAGTATTTAGTCAGTCACCAACTGTGCAAGTTCTCCCACTTAAAAAGATGAGATTGGCCTGTAATTGGCATCATAGGTAGACCTCAACTATGAGAGACAAAATGAGAAAAAAAATCCAGACAATCACATTGGCTGATTTGGAAAGAATTTATTTGCAAATTATGGTGGAAAATAAGTATTTGGTCAATATCAAAAGTTCATCACAATACTTTGTTTATATATCCTATGTTGGCAATGACAGAGGTCAAACGTTTCCTGTAAGTCTCCACAAGGTTGGCACACATTGTTGTTGCTATGTTGGCCCATTCCTCCATGCAGATCTCCTCTAGAGCAAAGATGTTTTGGGGCTGTCGCTGGGCAACACGGACTTTCAACTCCCTCCAAAGGTTTTCTATGGGGTTGAGATCTGGAGACTGGCTAGGCCACTCCAGGACCTTGAAATGCTTCTTACGAAGCCACTCCTTCGTTGCCCGGGCGGTATGTTTGGGATCATTGTCATGTTGGAAGACCCAGCCACGTTTCATCTTCAATGCACTTGCTGATGGAAGGAGGTTTGCACTCAAAATCTCACGATACATGGCCCCATTCATTCTGTCCTGTACTCAGATCAGTCGTCCTGGTCCTTTTGCGGAGAAACAGCCCCAAAGCATAATGCTGCCACCCCCATGCTTCACAGTAGGTATGGTGTTCTTTGGATGCAACTCAGCATTCTCTCTCCTCCAAACACGATGAGTTGTGTTTCTACCAAACAGTTCTATTTTGGTTTCATCTGATCATATGACATTCTCCCAATCCTCTTCTTGATCATCCAAATGTTCTCTAGCAAACTTCAGATGGGCCCGGACATGTACTGGCTTAAGCAGGGGGGACACGTCTGGCACTGCAGGATCTGAGTCCCTGGTGGCGTAGTGTGTTACTGATGGTAGCCTTTGTTACATTTGTCCCAGCTCTCTGCAGGTCATTCACTAGGTCGGAGGGTGTGGTCCTGGGATATTTGCTCACCGTTCTTGTGATCATTTTGACCCCACAGGGTGAGATCTTGCGTGATCAGATCGAGGGAGATTATCAGTGGTCTTGTATGTCTTCCATTTTCTAATTATTGCTTCCACAGTTAATTTGTTCACACCAAGCTGCTTGCCTATTGCAGATTCAGTCTTCCCAGCCTGGTGCAGGTCTACAATTTTGTTTCTGGTGTCCTTCGACAGCTCTTTGGTCTTCACCATAGTGGAGTTTGGAGTGTAACTGTTTGAGGTTGTGGACAGGTGTCTTTTATACTGATAACAAGTTCAAACAGGTGCCATTGATACAGGTAATGAGTGCAGGACAGAGGAGCCTCTTAAAGAAGAAGGTACAGGTCTGTGAGAGCCAGAAATCTTGCTTGTTTCCACCATAATTTGCAAATAAATAAATACATTCTTTCCAAATCAGCCAATGTGATTGCCTGGATTTTTTTTCTCATTTTGTCTCTCATAGTTGAGGTCTACCTATGATGCCAATTACAGGCCTCTCTCATCTTTTTAAGTGGGAGAACTTGCACAATTGGTGGCTGACTAAATAATTTTTGCCCCACTGTATATATATATATATATATATATATATATATATATATATATATGTAGTGAAGGAAATAAGTATTTGATCCCCTGCTGATTTTGAATGTTTGCCCACTCACAAAGACATGATCAGTCTAAAAATTGACTGGTGGGTGTATTGTAACACTGAGAGACAGAATAGCAACAAAATATTCAAAAGAAATCCATGTCTAACAAATTATGCACTGATTTGCATGTTCATGAGGGAAATAAGTATTTGATCCCCTATCATTCAGCAGGATTTCTGGCTACCAGGTGTCTTTCACACAGGTAACAAGCTGAGATTAGAAGCAGTCTCTTAAAGGGAGTGCTGCTAATCTCATTTTGTTACCTGTATAAAAGACACCTGCTCACAGGACAAACTCTCCACCATGGCAAAGACCAAAGAGCTGTCCAAGGATGTCAGGGACAAGACTGTAGACCTACACAAGGCTGGACTGGGCAACCAAACTATCGCCAAGCAGCTTGGTGAGATGGTGACAACAGTCCGCAATCATTCACAAATGGAAGAAACACAAAACAACTGTCAGTCTCCTTAGGTCTGGTGCACCATGCAAGATCTCACCTCGTGGAGTGTCAATGATCATGAGAACAGTGAGGAATCATCCCAGAACTACACGTTAGGATCTTGTCAATGATTTCCAGGCAGCTGGGACCACAGTCACCAAGAAAACAATTGGTAACACACTACGCCGACAAGGATTGAAATCCTGCAGTGCCCGCAAGGTCCCTCTGCTCAAGAAAGCATATGTCCAGGCCTGTCTGAAGTTTGCCACTGAACATCTGAATAATGCAGAGGAGGACTGGTTAAAAAGTGTTGAGGGCAGATAAGGCTGAAATCGAGGCTCTTTGGCATCAACTCAATTCACCGTTTTTGGAGAAGGAATTCTGCCTATGACCCCCAAGAACACCATCCCAACTGTCAAACATGGTGGCGGAAATATTCTGCTTTGGGGGTGCTTTTTCTGTTAAGGGGACTGGACAACTGCATTGCATCAAAGGGATGATGGACGATGGTCAAATCTTGTCTGAGAACCTTCTTCCCTCAACCAAGGCATTGAAAATGGGTCATGGATGGGTGTTCCAGCATGACAATGACCCAAGACACACGGCCAAGCCAACAAAGGAGTGGCTCAAGAAGAAGCTCATTAAGGTCTTGGAGTGGCTTAGCCGCCTCCAGACCTTAATCCGATCGAAAATCTGTGGAGGGAGCTGAAAGTTCGAGTTGCCAAATGTAAGCCACCAAACCTTAATGACTTGGAGAGGATCTGCCAAGAGGAGTGGGCCAAAATCTCTCCTGAGATTTGCCACCAAGTACTAAGTCATGTTTTCTGAAGGGGATCAAATACTTATTTCCCTCATGAACATGCAAATCAGTGCATAACTTGTTAGACATGCATTTCTTTTGAATTGTTTGTTGCTATTCTGTCTCTCAGTGTTACAATACACCTACCAGTCAATTTTTAGACTGATCATTTCTTTGTGAGTGGGAAAACATTTAAAATCAGCAGGGGATCAAATACTTATTGCCTTCACTGTATGTATATATATATATATATATATATATATATATATGTATCCAGATTATTTATCAGTGTTCCACACTTCACGAGAGTAAGAAGTAAAAGGTCTGGGAGACATTTGTTATAAGTGGGTAATAACACTTAAGTAGAGATTGAAGAAATTAGGTAGGTTTTCATGCTTACCAGGTATCCAATAATTTTGTATTCCCCATGAAAGTACTCTTTCATTGCCAAAGAGTACATATATTTGTATCTGAATGGCAGGGGGGTAAACCTGAAAAGCAAAGAAGCACTCCTTTGATTATTCCTACATTTCTACCTTCGATAGTTAGCCAACTATCCCTTTCCCCTTCCCCTTTTGTCCCATTTTTTTCCAGACTATCCCATTAGCAGAAGACATAAAGTAGTGCATTAGGAATTAGATTATTAGATGTGACAGTCGCACATTTTTTTAATACACAATCAAGTTTTTTTGTGGCATTACTGCAATTTTACTTTTCTCAGCCTAAACATATAATACATCTTTTTTGTGCACACTGCAAAATTGATGTGTTTGGGGTTATATTGATTTGATCTGTGTTAACTGAAAACAGACAGCGTATATTTATTTAGCAGGACTGATCT